TCAGGTCCCTGGGACCCACAGACCCCTGGCAGGGAATCCTAGCTGCAGCCTCTGATCAGCCAGCTTGGGAAACAGCATTTGGAACCTTGTGCCACTGGCCAGCGTGGCCCTTGTGGTCCAGCTCTTGGCTCAGGGAGAATGGATGGTGCTTAAGCAGATGGGACCTGGGCTGTACCCTGGCCACTGGGAGCCCAGGGAGCGCTTTGCAGCAAGGCAGCGGGCGGCAGGGGCCTGGCACCACTTGCTTTCCTTGTCCTGGGGGCACGCCCACCCCACCCCACCCTTCAGGTGACAGCCTCCTGTCCCTGGTCTTGGTTTAAAAACGGTTAAGATGGTAAATTGTATGTGTATTTTACCACAATTAAGAAGAAAAAAAGTTTAAAAATTAGCAAGGCAACAAATTGAAAGACCAAGAAACTCAACATTAAAAGAAAACTTTAAAGACATAAGCCATAAGCATAGTATAGTTGGGGAAGCAGACCCATGTACAAGAATTGAAGGACCTTCACAGAGCAGATGCCTATTAATCTAAACTGTGAAAGTGCTGGAAAGGAATGCTGAACAGAGAGAAGTTAGCAGCTGGTGAGGAGAAAGCTCAGGCCTTTCAGGTAGAGCGTGTAGCGTAAAACTAAGTGAAAACAAGTCATGTCTCAGTGACACACAGTCCTTGGAAGACAGTGAGGAAGAAGTAGATAGAAAATTGTAGCTGGTCAGACATTAGGCCCAAGTGTTTGATACATTAAGGAAGCTGATGAAAGTGATGCTGGAAGCAGGACAGTGAGAACAGCAGTGAGGTCAGAGAAGGCGTTTTAAGAATCATGCAGGCCCGTGATAAAAGGATGCTGGGGACCATGATAGTGAACATGCAGGTACAAAGTGGTGGGTTCATTAAAAACTATTAGAAAGGAAGAATCCACAGAACTTGCATATTGGTTCTGGGGAACAAAGAGGAAATCAAATTTTTTCAGTGTTCTCAGGCTGTGGGCCTAGAAGTGTGGTGATTCAGTTAACGTTGAATGTGAGATTCGTTATGATGGATGGAAAACCTGACTTAGTGTAGACATTTTATATTAAAGATAATGCTGAATATCTAAGTAAATGCTCCCTAGAGAGGACATAAGGAGATGTTCAGGGACCAGATTTGGAAGTTCAGGTATTTCAGCCAGGCTCGCCCGCTGAGCTTTCGTAAGGTGGCGTATCGGCCACACCCTCTGAGGCCTCCGTGAGGGAGGCTGGAGGACCTCCTCGCCAAGGGAAATGAAGGGGTGAAAGAGATTTCACCCCGGATAGTTAACCGGTTAAATTACAAGTAAAGGAGGCATCAGTAAGAGAATCTGGATTTCAGATTCATCTTAAAATTGGAGTAAACTGTGCCTACATGTCTTTGACAGTAATACGTCCAAAGCTACTGATCTCACTGTTGCTTTCATCGGCTCTCTTTCCTCGTGTTTTCTGGATTATGAAACTTATGAAACACGATTATTTAATCATTCCGTTTGGAATACCCAGTTGGAGGAAGAGGGAAAAATAAACTGTTATAATATCCCTTCATTCATACTCCTTTTCTGTCTTGCATTTCTGTTAAACACACGCTTACCTAGGACTCACTCTTAAATTGCTAACCACTGCCGTTTACTAGTAAGAGAGGGCTTGTGTGTTGTCCTTAAGGATTCAGGAGTTAACCAGCAGGATTTTGAGCTCCACTTGCCTTGGGTATTTGCCTCTTGTTTCTGAAATTTGCTGGAAGGGGGAGGGGGCAGAGAAGGTGGTCTTACTACCATTTCTTGAAGCTCAAATGCCACAGCAGAACTTTTAGAGACATCTTGATTCTATTAGAATTTGCAGGTCAAAGGGCAGGTTCAACTGTTCTGGTAGTTTACAGCACCAGGGATGGTGTGACTAGACTAATGACTTAAAGTTGGATTTCTGTTACTACCTACTCATTATGCAAGTCAGGGGGCCTGTTAGTCATGCAGTAGGGAATTACTAATCACCTTGAAAGGTTCTGTGTCCACATTTTCAATTTTTTTTTATTTTTAACTGAGGAAAAGCCACTAAGAGAACAAGGAGAGTGATTTGGCAGGAAGAGCATTTTAGTTCTTCTTTTGCCTGGGCTTGTGGCCTATGTATGTTCCCTTTTGTGTTTCACGTGCTTGTGTTACTCCCTTTGGGCTTATGGGAAATGAAGTCAGGAAGTGTTCCACCAGCAAGTGTTCCTTTTCTGTGGAGAGCCTTGGATTAGTAAAGCTTTTGAAGTTGATTATTAATCCCCAGGAAGGTTCATTTTCTTTGAAATAGCCGTATTAGTGTTAGAATAGCTGACTTTCAGCTCTCAAGTAATTGACTCTGATTAGAAAGGAATTATTTCAGGTATTTTTATTTCCTTCTTCACAGTTTTCTGTATCTTTCCATTTTTCACCAATGAATGAACATTACTTTGTTATCCGAAAATACCTTTTTTTCAAAGAAGCAGTTATATTAAGAATAGGTGGCTACTAAAATAAAATCCTTTTTGCTATTTGCTTTTTTTCACTCTAAATTCCATACCCTCTGAAAAACAGGGTATTCTTAAAATTTTTTAGCTTAGTCACTTGAATGTTCTTTGTAAAACTTAACTACGTAAGCTCAACCACAAATATGGTCTTTACTATCACGTGTATTGAGGGAACAAGAGTTTTTCTTATTCCCCCCAAAATTAGATAGCTGTTACTATTTATCAGCTTTATTTTTGTTCCTGCCCTCCAAATTGTTTTCAAGAAGTTGTTCTTCCCATGGTGTCCGTTTCCAATTTACCAAAATTATAGGCAAAACAGTACAATATCTGTCCCCTTCCAAAAACAAGAGAAAAACCTGAAAGCTAATAAACCCACAAAAGATACTAACATTACCCAGAGTTTACGTGATCATACATGCAATATGTAATCAAAACATTTCATTCTCTTGACTGTGAATTGCCCTTTATAGGCACATACACATGTAGAAGTCAATATGGAGAGTATAGTTTTAAAATGGAAAGGACACTGTTATGTTAATCTGCTAGGGAATTTTTAGAGGGTGAGAGCCTTGGGTATGGGAGAGAAAATCTGATTCTGTGCAGTTCATAGTATATTATCAGTGCTCAATAAAAAGTAAACAGCATCAGTGACATAATAAAATTTCTGTTTGAATCGTACAGAAAAAGAAAAAAAGACTTCAAAATATATATCTTATTTAAAAAGGCACCATTCCAATGGCTCCGACTCCAGTGCCACATCCTTTATTTTAAAATTTAGAATATGAATTGGCACCTGTTATATCATATTGCATTTGGGGAATGTGACATTTTACCCCAGAGATTAACTGTACCACACTAGCTGGCCAAGCATATCATTTATAAAAGAATTTGGAATTCAGTCAAGATGTTTCAACAGTATAGGATAATTTTTACCATTTCATATTATGACGCTTCTTGCCTTAAGTACAGAATGGAACTCAGATCCTATCGCCTTTTATCTTCCATTCGGCAGAAGTTCTCATGACTTGGTCTAACTGGACAGAGTAATTTATCTTTCATTCGTCTTCTGTTATTTGCCTGCCACTAAATGTGTCATTCTGACTATTGATGCACAGAAATGCAGCCCCCTTATTGAGAAGGCACATTTCTCGTTCCAGCTTGTCAGTCTCTGGGCTCCTCAAAAGGGAACAGATGACAGCAATTAACAGGAAACCGCAGAGTGAGACCATCTTGAACTCCTTCACCTTTAAGCTCATTTCACCACTTAACATATTTTTTTCAAGTGGTCAGTGGATATATTTAGACTATCGTTACCCCTTTGGTGCTGACTTCATGGGATAAGCCATCTGCCATTTCTTAGACTCATATAGAGTGAGGACAGTGGAAAGTTATACTGAGGTCAATGAATCTTCCCTTCCAACAGCAAAGGCTAGTTAAACAAATCCTCATTTCCATGATGTAAACTGATCTACGTCTTCCATTTGTTAGCACTGCTTGTTCAGAGTTCCCCAGACCTACCCATCTGAGTATGGAATATCCTTGTCAGAATGTGCAAAAGATAGTCTTCCAGTTTGTGGCTAAACTAAAACTCTTCCATATGACTGCTGTTGAAGCGTAATTATCTTAACAAGAGACAGAAGCAAGGTTAAACTTGGGCAGTGCGTTCTCAGATCCAGCATTTCCTCAGGTCAAAAGCTCAGGCCACTTTTATAGTTCCTGTAAATCAAGTCTGCCTTCTTCCAGATGACTTATTACATAAAAGATGAGCTATAGAGGGATGCATTTGGACTGTGAGACTAATTGTTCACCAACTTCCTTCTGATTAGTTTGTAAATTTCTCAGTTCAACGCCCCTCCCCTAAAATCCCACCTTCTTTTCCTTCTGGATATGAACCCAAAAACAGTTGTTAGGTAAACCACAAGGAATCAGTGAAGTTTAAATTGTTGTTTCAATATGTGCAGATCATTGCCAAGTAAAGCCTTGACTGGAAACGTACTTGCATTGATGAGATTAAAAAGATTCATAGATGTTCAGAGTGCCCCGGGAACAGCTGGCTGATTTCCTGAATCCTATTTACTAATGTTTACAGTTTGTTATACATTCTGTACATAAAAATGTTTTCAGTTTTAGTGGTGCCTCGTTTGCCTGGAGACCACAGAATACTTATCAAAAGAATGAGTCAAATGGGTAAAATGTATAGATGACAGGATAATTCTTACTTAAAAAAAAAGTCATTAACTTCGTTTACTTCCCAAGTTTAACTACAGCTAGATCTAGGAACTCTTCATTAAGATGTCAGTATAACGACCTGATAAAGACATTTAGAGTCAAGGAGACCTGAATGGGATTCCTGCCCGGACCATTTGCTTCAAGTGTGAACTTGGGCAGCTGCATACACTCTCTAAGCCTTAGTTTCATCACCCATAAAATGGAGGTAATGGTATTAGTAACCTGAGGATTGCTGTGAGGACTAGATGGAAATCTGGATGTTTTCTTTCTTCTGCAGGCAGGAAGCCCTTCTGGCTGCCATCAGTGAAAAAGATGCCAATATAGCTCTTTTGGAGCTTTCATCCTCGAAGAAAAAGACCCAGGAAGAAGTGGCTGCCCTGAAGCGGGAGAAGGACCGGCTCGTGCAGCAGCTCAAGCAGCAGGTATGACTAGTGGGGCCTGGGGGGGAGGCTGCCGGCGTCTGTGCCGCTCATGCACTCAGGTCTCCCCTCTTGGGCCAGATGTCTGATCTTTATCTAATTGATCTTCACCAGCAGAGACTTCAGCCTTCGAATCTCTGCTTTGTCTAGGAAGCACAGAGCATTCTTGGTCAGAGGACTGGTTTAGAAGGTGTCACACGTCTTAGGAGAACTTTTTTAACTTTGGCAATGGCTGGATGAAATTAGTGAAATTCTGCCCATTTGAAATGAAAAAAGGTTTTTTGGGGGATGTTTTGCATGTCTCTTGGGGTCAGGCTGCAGGGGTCGCCCACAGCACTGACAACTGCGTGGTCCTTGGCAAGTGCTGTGGGGTACCTGCAAGGGCTGTTGGGGTCCTCAGTGGTGCCTCCAGGGGCAGAGGCCGCATGCAAGGGCAGGCAGCAGTGGTGTGGAGCTGGTGGTGGTGTGCACATACCACCAGCGGGTGAAAAGTCTTATCCCTTACGTCCAGTCAGATTCCCGCTACAGAAGGCACTAAGGATATTTTCATTTAAGTGATTTCCTGTTATTCAAGGCTGGGTAAGCTCTGATGGTAAGAGCAAAGTTTTGCCCTTTTCTTTTCTACCCAAAACCTTCCCCAAATTTAATGCTTAATACTTACATGAGGCCTTTCATCTGTGAAAATAAAAGCTAGAAATTTCCTCATTGATGATGGTTGCACAACAATGTAAATATACTTAATGGACAGAACTGCACACTTAAAAATGGTTAAAATGGTAAATTTTATGTTGTGTATACTTTACCACAATTTTAAAACTGGGGCAGATCTTTTTCCCCTTTGAAGATAAGGAGAAAGCTGAATTTCAGAGTCTGAGCCCTCTTCATCTTTATTGCTGTTCCTGGCATTCCTTTTCTACGTGAGTGTCCACCTCCTGCCTTCCGGGTCATCCCCTTCATCCTCCGCCGCTTTTCTGTACATTTGGGCTGCCCACATTTACCCTTCTGCCTGAAGTAATCAGAGTAGGAAAGAGTTTTCGAGTGAAGGAATTTCTTTTTTTCTACTTTAGAGGATCAGTCATCAATTGATAGCATCACTTTTCATTTATTTATTTTTCGCTGTGTTGGGTCTTTGTTGCTGTGCACGGCCTTTCTCTAGTTGCGGCGAGAGGGGGCCACTCTTCGTTGCGGTGCTGTGGCTTCTCTTGTTGCGGAGCACCAGCTCTAGGCGTGAGGGCTCAATAGCTGTGGCGCACGAACTTAGTTGCTCCACGGCATGTGGGATCCTCCCGGACCAGGGATGGAACCCATGTCCCCTGCATTGGCAGGCGGATTCTTAACCACTGCGCCACCAGGGAAGTCCTAGCATCATATTTGATATTCAAATAAACAAGAATCACTATTTACACAGCAAAGATATTTTCTTTATTTTAAAGACTAATAAAACTGCTTATAAATAGACTTTATGTGGCTGACTTTGCTGAGAAAACACCAGAAGATGTTCCCTACTGCAAGATAGGTAGATGACCAGCAAAAAACAACCCAGTGCTCATTTGCAAGTGAAAGAAAACTTTTACCCACTTAAGCTCTGGTACCCCTGGACGTTCATCCCTTTAAGAGATGGAATTCACTATGAACTTTCACCCTCTCCTGGGTGCCAGTGATACAAGGGAAAGCAAAACAAAGGTGCTCTGGGGGCCTCCCTTTATTGCAAGTTCAACCACTTTATCCATCATTTGTGGGAATTCTGCCACATAAACATTTTCAGGTCACCTAGCTTGACCAAAAAAAAAAAAAAAGAAAGAGAGAGAGAGATAGACTTCTTTCATATTACAGAAGAAAACTGAGCAAAAATATTTATCAGCAGTTTGTCACCCCGGCTCACATTGCTCAATCTGTCCCATTTTAAGAGCTGTAGCTAATTCTAATTGGTCCTTATTTCATATTTTCTGAACAAATTACCCGTTTCCGTTATGTTCAGTAGGAGAATTATGAATGGACAAGGCTAGCTCAGCTGACTGAGGAGGCTGGAGGGGTCGTAAACGATGCATCTGTGCTTGTGTAGCGGGTGCAGAAAACTCGGGTGGGCTGCCCTGGGTCTGTGCTTCATTCTCCCAGCTAGGAAGTGGGTGCCATCTCCTGTTCCATTAGGGAGCAGTTAGTGAGGATCAGTCAGTGTCTTCAGAGAGGACCAAGATCTTGAGACGAGTAGTGTGTCCGTGCAGAGCTGCATCATGAGCTGAGGTCTCCTGGTGCGTGTTCTGTGGAAACGTGTCTGTCACTGGGGAAGTGAGCTGACTGTCAGACAGACATGCTGTCACCTGCTCACCTGGCCGAGCCTGCTCACAGGGTCTCTGGTCTTCGGTCTCCCTGTCCCAGACCAAGCATGGCCCTTCTGTCCCTGCAGTCTTTTCCCGGCGGTGCCCGCTCTCCTTCCTTGCGTGACCCCCGGGTGGTCCTGGCGGCCGTGGGGGGACCCTATCCTCTCAGACAAGCATTTTCACGGACTTGCTTAGTTTTCTGTTTTGTGTATTTTACTTCCTTAGCCTCGTAAGACCGCTTAACTTCCCTAATCCCTAAGTCCTTAATGGGCAAGGGGCGACTTCACTGTTGCCCCAAGTATTTTCAGTAGGTCCAGTATGAAAAAATCTCTGAACTGAGTGTCCGTCACTGGGCGCTGCCCGCTGCCCGGCTGCCCGTCGGTCCACCTCCAGGGCGCTGCCGGGACACACGGGCGCCTGCGCGATGCTCTTCTCCCCTGGCCTGTTGCTCCGTCAGCTGGAACTAAGCGTCCTGACAGCCGCGCAGCAGGCCCAGGACACCGGCCCAAGCCGGCCGTCCCCACTCAGCGTCCCCGTGAGTCTGCAGTCAGGCTCTTGGCCAGGCCTGCAGTCCCCTGACGCTTGGCTGGGGCAACAGGGCTCACTTCCAGGGTCACTCACGTGGCCCGGGGCTCGGTACCTTTTAGGCTTCTCCATGGGGTTACTTAGGACATGGGGCTGGCTTCCCCTAAGCACATGATCCAGGGGAGGGCAAGAGAGCAGCCAAGATGGAAGCCTCGATGTCCTTACAACCTGTCTCGGAAGGGGCACACCATCACCTCCCCGTGTCCTGTTGCACGTGCACCAGCCGCCTACAACATGGGGGGACCAGTGCAGGCGGCCTGGAAGGCTGGCTGCTGCGAGAAGTGAGTGAATGAGCAAACAGTGGTGTCCTCCCGTGGTGAGACACCGCTCAGATGTAGAGGAGTGCGTGCTGTGTGATTCGATGTGTACGTTCAGCTCTAGAAAAGACCACTGTACTCTCTGACCTCAGAAGGCAGATGAGGCATCAGAGCAGAACTCGCTTCATCTTCTCTTGCCTGCCTCCGCCCCCAAGAGGGGCCTGCAGCAGGAAGGGACAGGTTCTGTCCTCTTCATGCCTTTCTCCCTCTTCCTTTGGCGTTGGGGTCCTCTGATGCCATTGCAGCCCTTTGATGCTGCTTCTCTGGCCAGCGTTGACCCCCGAGGGGTGAGCAGTGCCCGGAAGACGCAGACCTGGCTGCTCCTTACCGGGCTGAAGAGTGAGAGCGTGTTGGCTGTCACGTGCTCCTCTGTCCATCCTGCCCTCTGTCTCTAGGTGTCCTTTTTCCTCCGCAGATAAGCACAAGGCAAACCAGCAAGTCCGATGCCAGAGTAGGTACCAAACAAAGGAAGGAGAAGCCTGTTTCCTTTTCTTCTACTCAAACCCCGTCTTCAAGATTGAAGACTCTAGGATTTAGGGCTGAATTCTCCTTGAGCCTCTCTCACTGAGCACAGGGGCCTCCCTTGTGCATGACTGTCTGCTCCCCGTGACGTCAAGACTCCTTCTGCCAGACTTAGCATCACCGTACACCAGTCGCAACCCAGAAAAGGCATGTGCTGTGAGGGGCTGGCCTGGTGGACGGTGGTGCCTTTTCTGCCCCCCCCCACCCCCTTTGTGGGCTCTCTAGAACGTGACCTGCTGAGCTCTCCTTTGTCCCTGGCGTTGGGCCTGGGCCACCAGTTCTGGAACAGCTGGGAAGACCCATTCATCATAGTATTAAAACTAGTTTAAAAGTGACATCTAACATTGGAGAGAGAACAACAAAACGATTTCACGTTCTATGAAAAGAGAGCAGCAATGGGGTAAAGCTACGGAGAGCTCCTGAGTTGTCAGTGAACAAAGGAAAAAATAAACAGCCAGTGTTGAGGTAGCGGGAGTGCTGCAGAGGCTGCCCGTGGGGGGCGGAGCCAGAGGCGTCTGGCCGCCTCGCCAAGCGCCTGCGTTCTCAGCACGCACCGCGATGCCAGGTGCTGGGACGCAGCAGGCATCTCTCAGAGGACACACGGGCGTCTGGCGCTGCCGGAGGACCCCTTCCCTGTGTGTCGTGCTGGTCTGCCTGCTCTGTTCTGTACTTGCCGTGTCCACGAGCCAGCCTCTCAGCCATCCATGTGATGTTATCCCCTGAAGGTGGCTCGTACGTGGTGATCATAGAGAGTGAAGACCTTCTGCTGGTTAGAATATCCGATATCCAGAAGTTGACAGAGTAGACGATTACAGTTCAATCCTTATTTCATGATTCAGCAGCCCGTATTGACTTGGTCAGATAAATGTGCTCATCTCGTTTTAATTATCCTACCTCCCTTCAGTTCTAGATTCTTACATATTAAGTATTCAGTATACATACTTCTTCCTCTAAACCACTACAAACATTAGGATCAACTACATGTTTCCTGCCGCTGGTATCCAGATTTATTTGAAAGGAACTGGATGCAAAGCATTTTCCGTTCACTGCCCTCATCTCTGGAATTGCCTTCTACTTCCTCAGCTTAATCTCTGCTTTAATCTTCGCTTCAAGACTCATCTTTGTAGTTTGGAATTTCCTAGCCGCGGAATTGGTTTTTTTCCTTACATTAGCAAAGCCATTCTTTGCTTTTCTTCATTCACACATTCGTCCTCCTTTGGGCAGAAGCTAAAATGCGAGAGGGAGGAGGAAAGAAGCAGCA